ATGAATTCCACTTTGTGCATTATTGTCATGCAAGTAGTTGCATTATTCTTGTTATCTTTAGTTAATATGGGTTTGTCTTATGGTCAACAAAGTTTCGAGACCCTTAAGTATATTATTGTATAATTATTGATTCGTTGAAGAAAAAGCTTAGATATTGGTGGCCAAATCACATGGTCATTGACTCACACCCATGTCAATTTGGTAAATTTGGACATATTAATTTTTATTTTTTATTTTTTAAAAAAGACACGAGATAGATTTTGTAAGTTGTTCTATAAAATACTACTGAAATATCATACATATCACACTCGTCATAAAAATACAAGAACAAGTTGGACTACTACGATGTTCATAACATTCCCACATTTTCTAATCGAGTCCTCTTTCATACCATATATGGATCAAGTATATACCGAACGAAGAATGTATAGGCATTCTACTCCACCAAATTGCATGACTAATGCTATAGCTCACGTACCAATCCATAGTACTAGATAAATAATTTTGAGATGTTACTAGACTTTTTTTATCTTCATAGCACGATATATACTCTACTTTGTGCATTATCATGCAAGTAGTTGCATTGTTCTTGGCATCTTAAGTTAATATCGATTTGACTTGAATGTTGGTGTCCCTTAAGTGTAGTTATTGTATAATTATTGTTTCGTTGAACGAAAGGCTGAGATCTTGGTGGCTAAATCACAAGATCATTGTTCACTCGTATTAATTAATTTGGTGATACAATTATACTCCCTCCGTTCCAATTATATAAGTCGAGTTTCCTTTTTTCTTGTCCCAAATATATAGGCATGTTTCCTAATGTAAAATATTTTGTTGTATTCTTTTACCAATATACCCTTATTAAATTTTCCCCACTTAATATGCCAACTTCTTGAAATCATCCAAATACACACATTTCTCACTTCTTGGAAACATAGAACAACTCTTATTTCTTCTTCTTCAAATTCTTTATTAGTTCCAACATTAATTTAGTTTTACATACTGAAAATTAATTGGGGTAAATTAGGAAAGTTCTTGACAAAAATTAATGTTTCAATGATATTAAAGAAGTATTCTTAATAAGTGTGAAAAACTAAACAAACCTAAATAATTAGTACGTAGTGACCACATTCTTCAAAAACTACTATTCATTACTATATTTTTCTCCCAAAAATGGGAGAGAAACATCCCCTAAAGAAGTTTTCTTAATCCGTGTGAAAAACGAAACAAACCTATATAATTGGGACGTAGTGAATAACATATTAGACTATCACGATGTTCATGAAAATATGGAAATGTAATGGATAAATATAGAATAATGCTATTTGCAGTCGTTCACTATTATAGTTGTCCTCCGTGGCATACATGTGACGGTTAATGATTTGATGCATGAGTAAATAAAAAACTACCATATTAATGCATCAAATCACTAACTGCCATATGTATGCCACGTAGAGCAATTATGATAGGGAGCGACTGCAAATAATATTACTCATAAATATATACATACAATATAATACAGAAAGCTACGTAGTATTATGAATGGACGTACTTATAGTTTTGTTCTGAATAGATGTATTTCTAGCTGAAGAATCATAGTATTGTGACATTTTCTAGACTGAATTCCATAAATGTATCAAATTTTCAAGACCTAACATGTCTATACTAAGCTATATTTTGTTTAAGATATATTATTTATGTTGTCGAAAATCCTTATTCATGTCGATATGATGAGGATGTCTTTTCGATTTTCCTTACTATTTCTTTCATAACGCGGTGTATTCCTTAATAAGTCTCGAATCGTTAATGAGAATTGATTCAATCCGCATGCCTTAATATGAGTCGCTGATAGTTGTTTGATTTTCAATTCTAATATAAATCCCATAAATAAAGTGGTATGAATATAGTTGCGAGTAGAAAATATATAAAATCATAATTAAAGAAAAAGAGAGTATCTTGTGTTATAATAGAAGAGAAGTGACGTGATTATTCAAAAATCGAAGTCAATTTGCTTTATAAAAAGAGATTAATGAAATGATTCTACATGAGTCAATCAATTATCTCGTGGAATATCGTTAACAAGAAAGAATTAGGGATCTCTAGCATAGAACGGTTCGTCGAATGATTCATTTTGGTATCTTATCTACCAAAAGTAATTATAGTAGTGAAGAATTTTTATTGGGTTTATGTAGAGGCCAAATTTCTTAGCGTCCGATTCAAAAAAATAAAATAAAATAAAAATAAAAATTGATCCTACTCATTCCAGTTGTTGTTGTCGGATATCTCATCATACACGTCATTTATTTGTTCTTGTAGCTCAAGTGTGTAGAGTTTGAAAAGGTCAGACCTTCAATAATTGCATCATTGATGATCGAGTAATTCAGAAATGGGTATCCTGGGTTTTTCCATTTGCACATGAAGAGGTTGATCGAAAACATTGACAACCTCTCACAGTGATGGACCCACTGTGATTAAAAAAAATGTTATTCACTCACCCACCTATCTCATGTGTGAGAGGTTGTCAATCAAACCATCCCCTTCCCCCGTACATGTAGCACGACTGATCTTTCAAAATGATGAGCGTTGCTTGGAATTAAATTTATATGTTACGTAAAAGTGAGAGAATAGATAATAGAAAAATAAGAACAATATACAAATTTACGTGAAAATTCTAGAATGAAAAAATCATGGGCTAATGAGGAAGAAGAAGAAGAAATTTTATTTTTTATCTTTGATTTAATTATTTTAAACTAATTGATTTCTATGTGAAAAATTAAAAAAAAAAAATGATTTTTGGGGAAGAAGATGAAAAATAAAGTTTTAAAGATTTGGAATTGTGAGTGATACATATAAAACATTTGAAATTAATTTGTAAAAATTAAAAGTTCGAGTACTGAAATTGCAATTTTTGTCCTTTTTAATTTTGGTATTTTTTACTGTTTTTAACGACAAATTTGACGAATGTTGACGGTAAGGAATTTTCACACAAATAAGAACCTCAAAACAAATCTTATTCTATAGGAAATTAAGTGAATGCTATTTCGTCTCTTTGTTCAGTTTATTACCGTATCTATTGAAAGATCATTGTCGACGGACCTTAGACAAATCATGTAAATTTTCTCCTATGTCACTCTTTGAACATGCTTTCGTCACTCATATACATGCACCTTACTCAAGCCTCGATTCAGTCATTTGATTTATCTTTCTTTTTTTTCTTTTTTTCTTTGAACAAACCAACACTCAATAGTATTGACCTGAGATAGTAAGTGGGTTATTTGGTCACTGGTTCAACCGTGGGGTCGACAGCTGAACCGACGGGTCAATTCCGATTTTATGTTTTCTTAATTATTTTCAAATATTCATAAAACAATATAGCAAAATTACACTTAAATTAGTAAATCACAAACTTTTATACTAAAAAATTTACAAAAACATCAAGTTTGAATGAAACCTTTCTATCGCACAAAATTCTTATATGACTTCTCAATCTCATCCAAATTCACTCCAATCCTGTCCATTGCGTCCTCTTTGATTTCTTCTCTCTGATTCATCATTGAATTAATATACCTAAAATGTTCCTTCTTTAAAATAAAACGACCTCTTCAATGACTTCACCAATATCTCTATTTTTTTTTTTGATGACTCAGGTGTACAAATTTCGTCCGACTAATCCTGATAAATGGCGGCCTTCTCCTCTAGTTCGCCACCCGTGTTGATCGGATACGGTCACGACTTATACACATTTGGACCGGACATTCGAAGGTTCTCCTTCCTGTGGACTTCTGTCTTCCAACATAGATGTTGCCTTCCAACATTCCAATATAGATGTTGTATTTTTACTTCTACTTAAAGACGTTCTACGTACTCTTTCTAAAGAGAGTGAGACTTACTTTTATTTTTTCTTTTTAACTGTTAGTGCCATAAGTAGGTGCACTCTTTCTAAAGAGAGTGAGACTTACTTTTATTTTTTCTTTTTAACTGTTAGTGCCATAAGTAGGTGCAGTAAACCTTATCAATGTACATTAGATATTTTGGCATTTGATATACATAAATAATGTCCTTTATGTGGTTGTTGAAATTTCTTCACTTATGTGACCACACACGTCTACCAACCAACAAGATTGTACTATGGATTCCCTACTTATGGGATGCAAATAAGTTCATATTTCATAATCATTATTTTCAATTTTTTTTATATTTATTTTTATACAAATATTTTGCACGTAAATTCAAAAAATTTTCATACTTTTTAATCGTACGTTCTTCTAAAAATCACTATTCAAAACTCTATTTTTCTCAAATAATTATCGTCAAATTATGTCTTTAAATCTAGCATATGTTTGAGCCCCATTTTTTTTTGCTTGAAAATAAATTGTGATAGTGAATTTTTGAAGAATGTATAGTTAAAAAGTTAGAAAAAGTTTTGAATTTACATGCAGAATATTTTATTGTAAGAATGTGTGGTTGGAAATGAGTTTAGAAAGAAAAAATTATATAATAAGATTTTTTTTTTATGTTGGCTTTGGACCAAAAATTTATTGCTCATGTCATTGACAACAAAAAAACTTCAAAATATTATAAACACGCATGTTTCCACTTCGTTTTGGAGATGACAGTGTGAAACCTTATTATCATCAGAAATTACATATGAAATGAGAATGACTGATTTTCAAAGCTATTGCAAAATTAAATAGTCTATGACAATTACATAAGCAAATGATTAAGAAACTAATTGTACATAATCATGAAAAATACTGCAATGATTATCCAAATCTTAGACGATCGTTACATACATGAGTTATAAAAAGAGATTGAGCAAAAGATTATTTAGAAAATAAACCCATATATAATCCCATTTTCTCTACCTTTTTTGACTCTTTGCATGTTATTTTCCATGGACAATTCCACCAACATATATGTCAGTTTTATTTTTCCAATATTAATTAGTATTTAATTCTTATTTTCCATAAGGAATATATTACAAACCTTTTGGAAACTGTTCATGTTTGAAGAAGTTCTTCAATCATTTGCAGTGCAATTCTCTCCTCTTCTTCCATCTCGCTTCTCGTGGTTGAACCTTGAAACTGCAGTGCTGAGGACCTAGATGAAGAGCTAAATTCTTGATCGTCTGCAGATTTTGAATATTTCTCTTTATTCTGATCAAACACGATCCTCATTACCCATTTTGAATCTGATGATGGACCAGCACGCTTTTGCCATACTCCTATACCGGAATTCTCAACGTCCAGCCTCAAACAAGTGAGAGATGGAGATGGTGCCTTGTTGCATTTTCGGAGTTTGGATCGAAGAATTTCTGATAAGGGTTTTGTGGGTATTAATTTCGTTGGTGGTTTCTCATCATTACTAGTGTTTGGTTCTCCATCAGAGTTTTGATGATGATGGGTTAATGGGAAGTTTGTCTTTGCATTTCGGCCACTCATTAAAATGGCTGCTTCATCATATGCTCTTGCTGCCTCTTCTGCTGTGTCAAATGTCCCTAGCCACACTCTTCTTTTCCTGTCATCACACAGTATTGTAAATCTCAAGTCAGCATTTTGAGAATCATGTGATTTTCCTCATAATTTCTATATATTATATTGGCTTGTTTGGTAAAAATGACTCGACGCGTTAGAAGAAAAAGAAACAAATCTTTACGGTGATACTGCTCAATACTGTTCGGCGTGATCACCAGGAGGTATTAGTTATGCTAAAGGTGGAGGTCCGGTTCGCTTTCCGGCAAAAATCTTGAAAGGATTTCTTAGGGCTTAATTGCACTACCTATCTCTTGAAGAGTGAATCCCAACAGTGCACAACTCCCTCACCTCAGATACATTACAGTGGATTGTATCCCTATCTACCATGATTTAAGTCCCTTTTAGCCAGGGAGACAAGTGGCTTCTGTGTATTGGCTGGATAAAACTTTTTTTGTCCAAGGCTCAATAATGCACGCCACGTGTCCCCCTGAATGCAGCCCGACAAGTTTGACATGCAAATGTTAGTTTCATGATAGAATTATCAGAATTGCTGCTTGGGTGTGGGTTGCGGTGAGGAAAGTTTCTTGTCATTTCGTGGAAGTGCATCAAGGACTCAAGGTTTACTGCCACCCCATCTCATCCCACCACCCCACCATACCCAGTCCACTCTGCAGCAATGCTCAAGCTCCAAATCAAGAACTTGAAACGAAACTATGGGGAGAGAGAGAGAGAGAGAGAGAGAGAGAGAGAGATTATTACAGTAAAGGATGGCGAATTTCAGAAACCCAAGATCCCCAATGACGTTGCCTGACACCTCTGAACTTCTTTGAGGGCACCATCTCGTTGTGGACAAAGAGAGCAGCAAAGTATAGAAAGATATGATCATATATATGATTATATTACTCGATGAGTTGATGTCGGTAAACTACTTTAAGACTGCAAAGGAAGCTAAACACTACCCTATTTGAGCCTTGTCTTGTGATTCTCAGTCTTCATTGTACGACCTCATTAACTCCATCGTTTGACTTGTTTAAGCTTCACCACTGTTTATGTATACGATGAATTGTGTTTGTTCACAAAAAAAATTAAAGCCCGTAGGAATTAAAATTAAATTTTTAATCTTAATTTTATCAAATATTGTTGAATTTATTTCACAAAGTACCTATCTCACCAAACTCACTATCAATGCTGTGCTTTCCATGATGATATTTATAACAAGGGCCCAGTTCTTGATGGGGTCGGAAATTGATTTTTTTTAAATTTTGCCATGCCATTTATGGGGTACAACTTTTAGTTAGCCAACTGATGAGAAAGTGACCTCAAAACTCAAACAACTTTTGGCCCTTGTTTTACCTTTATTATTTCAAAACTTTTTAATTTGCATACTCATTTTCAATCATATATTTAATAACACCAGTCCGAGAAAAAAATCGGTGTTGTGACATAATTTTTGCGATGCTCTCTTCATTGCTGTCTACATTAGTAAACGGAAGGGTCAAGAAACCTTACACTGTTTTTATTTTTGCCCCATTTTGATTTTTGCTAAAAATCAAATTTTTAATAGATTTTGATCCATGAAATGTGTAGTTAAAACGAGTTTAAAAAAATAAGTTTTAAAAAATGAAAACCAAACATGACTTTTTCTCATAATTTATTAGGTTTTGTAACCACCAATTCAATGAAAAATTGAAAATTAACTAGAAAAACTGAAATCAAAATTGTTGTTACATTTCATAATTTATTTCAATTCACTGAAAAATTTACTAGAGAATTTGAAATTAAAATTATTGTTACATCTTTTTAATTTATTTTTTCCAACAGTTCGAACACTCCTCTTTCAATTGTTTAAAGAGCGAGCATCTACTGGAGGGGTAATTTTGTCATTCTACTTCTGTAAACTCCATTTTACAAACAAGAAATACTAGTGACAGGGTAACTGACATGAAAAAAATACAAACATACACTTGCATTTTCTCATTGGCAGTTAAATAAAAATTAAAGAAAACATTGCCAATCAAAAACTGCCACTTCAATCCCTGGAAAATGCCCCCGTCATTGACCCTGTTTGTTTAGCATTTTTGTTTATAAATCAAGGAACCCTAACATTCACTAAGACACATTTAATGCATGCAGTAAATAGTCTGATTCTACTGCATGCTTTTTACACACGCCGTAAACGAATGCCGTAAAAAAACTACTATTGTTGTAGTGATCCAAAGCATATTTTACTCATAGTTACTCGACTCGTATTGAACATATATCCAGCTAAGGCACTAGATTACTACATCGATTGGTGGAAATTATACAAAATTTTCTTAATTTATAGTTTGAACAGTAAGATTTGTGTACACTATATTATATAATATTAAACTTGGACTTTGAAAGGCTAGAATTAATGATTTTTTTATTCAATTTTATAGACCTTTACAGAATCAATGAAACTCTATATATTTGTATGGAAGCCAGGGGTGGACCCATGAAGGGCCAGCAGGGTCGACAGCCCCCACTGAAAAAAAGACCCTGAAATTTTTTTTTTATTTAATTTTTTCACAATTTCTTTTTAGCTTATTTTGTATCTCGCCCCCACTCAAATTAATTCTGGGTCCGCCCTGATGGAAGCTACGGCCTTTTATGAAATTTCATTTGACTTTTATATATTTTTGATTGAGAACAAGAAAATATATATAAAGCTATATGTCTACGTAACTTATTACAAATTATTTATTTTATTGAGTTATTTATTTCTACAGTACAATATGTGATTATTTTAAACCATTGCTTGCTTGATGAAATGATTCATAACATAAATAATTAATAACAAATAGTAACACAATTATATTAATCATGTCATGAAAATATTTTTTCAAAGTATATAAATAAACACACACACACACGCACACATATATATAATTAGTAGATTTTGATAATATTTGATGAAACGTGTGGTTGAAAAATTGTGGATCTCATGAAATATGTGATTAAAATTAATTATTAACTTTGACTTGAATTAAAATATAGGTTTTAATCCTTACAAAACATGGGCATATTTTTTTTATCATTGACATGGACTGGTAGAAAGTTATTAACTAATATATCTACTTTTTAATAAAAACTTATAGTAATATTTTATTGATCTTTTTGTATAGAAAAATAAGAGAAACAATGAAAAAGATAAGAGATAAGAAAATTAGAAGGTCGTTGACATTTTGAATAGGGTAATTATCACAAAATGTCTCCATTATTTGCACTCATTGCACAAATCATCCATATTGAAATGAGGGTGTAAATATCAAATTTGAAACGATAGGTATAATTTATGCAATGAGTAGTGAGTACAAACGATGGGGACGTTGTGCTTATTTCCCTTTTGAATATCCCATAACCTAAGACATTTAGAAATTTTTTTATTATTCTAAGCCTAAAATGAAAGTAAGATCACTTAAAAGTAGCTTTTAAGGTTAAACACATTTATAGCTTTTAAATTTACTTTGTTACTTCCTTTTACAAACAGGTTAATCTTTCATTTAAAGTCACTTTTTTCAGAGTTTTCAATTCTAAATTTTGCCATTTTTAAAGCATGTTCAACAACCTTGAAAAAGTAGGTTTACTCCTTATTTAAAGTTTAAACACATCCAAACACGCTCAAGTTTTGTTCAGACACTCTGCTTAACGCTATCGATGATGGCCATGTATTTATAGACGATGAGAACCCTTCTCAAGTGGACCTCCCAAATAACGTGCATAAACTTATAGCAGAAGTTATTGTTCCTTTCTAATTTACTAATCAGTAGTGAAGATCGTCGTTTGTGTCATATAATATATGTGCGTCTTTACAAACAAGAAAAAGTTGGTAGAATGTCAAAAAAAGTGTCATGTTGTAACCATTGATGGATCAAGAAATAAAGTTTCATCTTTACAAACCTATAATATGAATGTGTAATATAAGGTAGTAAGTGAACCAACTCTTCAATATATATATATATATATATATATATATATAGCCCAATTAGATTTGAATTCTAGAAAATCTTCAAAATTATTAATTAATCTAGCTCGTGCGATAACATAGATTTTGATAAGAGATCAAGAAATTATCTTATAGGTTATGCAATCTTGAATGAATATTTATTGACTTGGGTGAAATTTAAATTCATAACTATTTGATCCCCGAAAAGTTTTCAAGCACAGATAAATTTAGTTAAAAACTCAATTTCTTAATTGACAATTGGTTACGATATTAGTTTAAATTGAAGCTAGTTTAAGATAAAAATTGGTAGTAAATAATTAGTCTCTATTGATATGATATTCGGACTTATAATCCATTTTATTGCTTGTCACGATTCTTATACTTTTGGTACGAATATTTTTGTGTGTAGAAGTTATGTCTAGAAAATGTCGGTAGCCCTAAATATATATATGGACGTTTTTATCCTTCTTGGGCAGAAAAACTGTCCTCTAGTTTGTTACCTAATAAGTGCACAAGAATTTCAAGGAAATATATTAGTATTTTTTATAAGCACAATAATAAGAGGGTTCAAATAACATCTTCTCACATGGACGGATCCAAGATTGGACTACAAGTCTGGCCAATACGTTAAAAAAAAATTATACAAGAAATTTTTTTTTTCTAATAAAAAAATTGAATGGGCAGCCCGGTTTAGCCCCCCGTCAGATCTGTCCCTGTCTTCTCAAATCTTTTCCTAAATAGAAATGAGGAGTGTCTTGAACTTTCTTTCCAAGTATAAAAAGATTTGGTTATACTAAGATTAAACTAATATCCTTTCTTCCAAAACTCATTTTTAACCGTATGTATCAATATGGGAAGTTATATAAACAAAATATACACCTAACTGAAGTGGCAAGTTTGTGAGTCGGACGAACTCTAACAAATGCATGAATCATTTGACTCGACACAAACTCGTTGAGTTAACTAGTGCAGCATATAGAATTTCCTTAAACTTACCAAATTACTTATTAACAAAAACTCAAATTTTTTAATTAATAAAGCCAAACTTTAATTAAAAGAAATAGGTTAAAAGCATATTTTACCAACAAATTGGTTGAACACACTACAATTTTCATATAAAATTTAAAATATTTGAAGGAAATTGATTTGATATTATTAAAAGAATTAATATATTAATCAGGATGTTCCGAGTCTTTCAATTTCAGGGCTTGAATTTAGCTCACGCTTGGTGCCAATTAAATGTCAAATTCAAGAAATCATTTCAACCACATATTTTGTGAGTTCCTCAACTTTTCAACCACACATTTCATTATTTTTTATTAAAATCTACTAAAAATTCGATTTTAATCTCCATCAAGCAGTGGTTAGTTTTTCTTCGTCGCCGGTTGACAAATTATTTAGCCCCTGTTTGACAATCATTTTTTTTTTTTAAAGAAAATGAGTTTTTCGAAAGTAATTTTTTGGAGTTAAAATGTGTTGGAATTTTGTATCGAAAATTGGTTTTGACCAATTTGAATTGATTATTTAAGTAGAAATCATTATTTGGTGAATGAAAAATTAAGCCACTTAAATACATGAATTATTGGAAAATTATGTAAAATATTATGAAATATTCTAGAATCGTTTAGCTAAAAAGTATGTCTTTCAATATGAAAGATCGTGATTTTTGAAATTATTATTTTTTAATAGATACACTCTTCATATATAGAGATTAATTCTAATAGTTGTGTCATTTTGTTAGATTATGTCTTTTGAGACAAACATTTTCAAAAATTATATATAGACCCCATATGTATTGAATTTCATTCATTTGTTCATCTTCATCATTGCATTATCACATAATACACATTACTTAAAATAATTTTTACATTC